TTATCGCAGTTGATAACTACGAGACACATGGCTCAAAAAAGGGATCTTCAATCCTTTTTTTTTTGTCAATCAATTGTCCAATAATGTTTTCTTTTGGTGCCCTCTCTCTATAAGTGCTTACTTTTCTTCTTACTCATACTGTTGCAATTGTCTTAAGGCTTTCAGTAACTGCAGGTGCAACTGCTGTTAGATAATCTATGTCAGGATTGACTAAGGTCATAAAAACTTTTCATTGCCTTTATGTGATTTAAAAATTTTATTGTCTAGAATTTAATAGTTAAGCACAAAAAAAATAAAAATAAAAGTCGCATGTTGTAATTGATTTCATGACATAATCTCATACAACTCATAAAATAGATGAATTGAAGTCTTTTGCATGTATTTACTTGCGGCAAATTCTATATACTGAAACTGTGAATTTACTTGTAAGGCACAGATAGTTGACACGTTAAAATAGGACTTGGGGCAATAGTTTCAACGTGTAAAAGTCAAACCATGCATGGCAATGTAGCTGGCAGGTATTTGAGATAAGAAATGTGAATAGGAATATTTTCTTTAAATAATTTCTTGAAATTAATTTTGAGTTTGACGGTGTCTAGGGTGCTAAGAGTTTTATCCGTTATTAATTTTTTGATAAGATTGTTAGTATTTATTTAGAAAAGTGTATAAACATAACGAGTGAAATTAATTTGATTGTGTGTGTATATGACAAATTTGATATAAATTAAGTGCGTTAACGAGTACATTTTGGATATCCATTTAAAAAAATCCATTAATTCATGCCATAAAGTTGAAACTCATGAAAAATCATGATGTCACTCATTCCCCACACCCTCCAAAAGAAAAAGAAATGGTGGGACAAATTATAGTGATACTGCTTTCTTTCCCGGTTGATTGCCTTCTGCTGCATGATCGATCTTTCTTTTCCACCAATAAAAAGCTCCAATATCTTGTCTTCTAATCTCTCAGTTAAGTAATGATAAATTTTAGGAGGAGACTAGCAACTTGACTAGGGTGTGTGTGGTGAATCGAACTTTCGAAGTATTTAATCATAGTTTAACACCTCTTAACTTTTGATAAGATGTCTTTCAAGACGTAAAGGGCATTGAGTTGGTAGTGATAAGAAAGTCGTTGCTTTTCATTTCTAAAGTGACATTTGACCGTAAGAGATTGATATAGTAATACAATTTTCAGACTTTCTGCTAACAGATAATAGAAGAGCATAAATGATGTTTTCCCATTAAATTTCACTTAATATTCATGGCATGTATATTAAAAGGGTTTGGCTATCGGATATTCCATTGGCACTCATTAAAAGTGCTTATTTTTAACAAGAGCATAGTTAATTTTGAAAAGTGCTGAAATGCAGAAAGTACAAATAATATAAGTATGTGCAATCACATAATATATTAGATATAATTTAAATATACTAATGGATGTTTAGTATGGCTATTAAAAACACCTAAACTTTCTCTCTTCCCTCTCTTTCTTCTCTCTGCTCTTCTTCCTCTATAGGAGGGAGATCTTGGTCTTAAGTCAAGGTCTCCCTTCCTATCTTCTTTTGTTCTCCCTTCCTATTTCTTTGTTCTTACATTTATTTAATAAAGTCTCTCCTAGGATATCCTAATGAGAGTTTTCTTTTGTTCCAAACTATTCTGGTGAGAGTTTTGTTTAGTTTTTTTTTGTTATTTATTTTCTCAGATCTAAAAATTTCTTCAGATCTATATGTTATGTTATATTTAAAATTTCTTGGGTCTTCTCGTTAAATCTCAACATCAGTTTTGAACTTGAACTAGTTGGATAGCAGATCTGAGGAAATAGACATGCACAGATATCTATAGAGTGGTTCGTTTAATTGGTTAGATTTGATGATTTGTGATTCACAGTGTAATCTTTTATATTTTGTAATTCTGTTAAATCTTATGATTTTTCACATCAAATATATCTGTGATATGTTCAATGTACTTTTTGCCATTTGTATAGATTACTTTGTCAAGTAAATCATGCTGAACGATTTCCAGATAGATGATTAATAATATTGACTCATGTTTTATATATATAAAAAAAAACTAATGGATGTCTAGTAGTCACCTGTCGGAAAAATTCATATTAAAAAGCTAACTTAAAACTTTGTCTAGAATCCTTCCCCCACCCCCCCTCCCCCAATAAAAAAAAATCATTTATAAATTATCAATGGAACCACATAGTTTTGTTTATTAATATGCTGCAACTGGGGTTACATGTGTAAACATGTACAACTTTTATATTAAATAGCATTACGTGGTTAACATATATCAAATAGATATATAGAGGATGTTGTGAGAGCTGTTTAATAAAGATTTTTTTTTCTTTGGTAATTGAAGATGCATAGAGGATGTTGTGAAAACTGCTCATTGTAGGACCCTAAATAATCTTTATTATTCGCTGTTTAATAAAGATTATTTAGGGTCCTACAATGAACAGTTTAATGTGCCAATGGTTTGGTATTTTCAATAGGCAAATCACAAATAATATGAATTATCCTGTGCTTAACTACGGAAGGTTTCTCATGTCATTTTTTTTTTCAATTATTGTTATTTTTTCCTATGCCATGGTTTTTATGAGCCAACAATATTCAAGAATCATTATATGACAAAATTTCTACGTCTATAGATGATCGAAAATACGTAAATTTGTAGTTTCAAAACTTACATGAGCAGCTACTCCATGTGTGCGTGGCAGTTGCCTTCCTAATTAATATAAGATTAGAATTCTTACATCCTTAAAAATCATTTGATGTACCAATCTTGGGAATTGGGCATTGAAAGTTGACTTTAACGTAGAAACTCATTTAGCTTTCATTTGCTACTTTTCCAAATTCATTGTTAATTCCTTAATTTTATATCATGGTAATGGATAATCATTTTGCCTTAGTCAATTGTTGTTAATTTCATGTTCTACTCATCATGTTAAAGCAAGGGAGGTAGGTGTAATTTTTGAAATATCAAGGGAACTTAGTGAAATTATCAAAAATCTCAAGAGTAGTGATAAACAAACTTCTAATCTTTTCTGATTTTTGACAATTTCACAAAATAACTCTACTTGTACAAAAATGATTTCAAAATCACAAAATAAACTTGTACAAAATAAACTAACTCTACTTTACACCCCTAAACTTGTATCACTTTTTTACTTTATACCTCAAACTTCAATTTTGGGCATTTTGCACACTAAACTCTTAATTTTGGAAACTTTGCACTCTATTCTTGATCAATCACATCTATTTTGGTGATAATAAAGCCAGCAGCTGCACCATGTCTTTCTTCTTGAATAAAGCAAAACCCGTTTGTATTTGCTTTGAACGATGATGTCGCAAAATTCTGTCCATGTCTACTTTCCATGCTTTTTAACCGAAATGTGTGTATAATCGAACCAAAAGGATCAACATGGTAGTTTTCTTTTCATACCATGACGTTAAGATAATCCCACAAGTTCCTTATCAGTTTTAGATTCAGTAAATCTAGAATAAGCAAATCCAAATCCGAAGTATCCAAGTTCCTAATTTTGTACATTTGACATATATAATTCTGGATTTTGCGCATTGGGGGGAGGAGAAATGATTAATGCTGATGGCTGTCCAGCAAGAGAAATGAGAAGACTCGCTTTTCTGCTGCAACTGTAAAAGAATTAAAACGTGTCTTTTGAATTAATTGGTTGAAAGGCATTAATCTCATTCGCCTTATATGTCGAAAAAGTGTCATTTGATTGCAACCACTACTGAGTAGAATTTGGTTACTTTTTCCAACTAACTCATTTTGGTGACAAATCTATTCTTTCCTCTGTCTTTTGAACGGGGAAAAAAAATACATGTTTTGCTTTTACAATTTCGTGAAGAAGCTATTGAAGTCTTGCAGCTATGCCTAAAAATAGACAAGCAGAACCAACATACTTTGCATTTGCTTTATCGAAACATGAAATATCACTTTCAATAAAGAAAAATGGGCAAATTACACTTTACCCCCTGTGATTTAGTATTTTTTTGTACATTACCCTCCTACGGTTTCAAAAGTTATACATAACCTCCTTATAGTTTGAATTAAAGTGTCAAAATAACAAAATTTGCAATCCATGACGGAGTGATCTAAAATGTCAAAAATACCCCTGTGTAAAGTTGAAAATTATTTATTAACCAAAGAGGGGGTTATATGTATATTTTAAAAATCATAAAGGGGTTCTATGGTAAAACATAAAATCATACGAGGTTAATTTGTCATGTGTATTATATTTATATATTTTGGTCACTTTAGCCATTTTAATTTTTAAACAAGGGTACTTTCAATATTTTGAAAGGTTTCGTTACGAATGATCATTTCCATTACTTTGACACTTTAATTCAAACCTTAAAAGGGTTATATATAGGTTTAAAACTATAAAGAGATTATGTACAAAAACATCAAACCATTGAGGGGATAAAATGTAATTTGCCCTAGAAAAATTTAGCGTCAGATTTCTTCATTTTGGCGTGTCCATCCACTCGATATAGCTTAACATGCAGAAAATCACGTTTTGTTTTCATTCTAACTACGGGTCAATGTGGATTCTTCTTCTACCAATGGAACCAGAGAAACGCGAAAAAGAAGCTCTCAAACAAAAGTTTATCATTCAATTGTCGTGCTCCATTGGTAGCTTTATCAAATACTAGGAGGCATAAAATGCGCTGCGCGCGTTGGGATAAACAGAAAATATGCCCACTTAGACATATGGATTCATGGAACAAAAATGTTTGTCAGTTAATAATTTGTGTACACAGCTAAATATAAATATACATGAATAAGTAGGAGGCAAAATTGTTTCACGAAAATAGGAATCCAAATCAGCTATCTTATCTTGAGCTTCAAATCCATAAGCTTCATTTCAAAATTTACTCTATGGTCAACCATAGAGTTAACCCACATAGAGTCTATTTGACCTGAATCCTGATACATGATCCATATCAAAATTTACACCAAATTTCCCTTTATTCGTATAGCAGTTGTATCCATGAAATCCTCCTTGCAACCGGGAGAAGAACAAAGAGGCCCGTTTCTTTGACGTTGACATGAAAATGAAGTCATCAATAAACCTTAAAAGCGGATATTTGCAGTGGTACATGACAGCTTTGTTCTCATGGTGGATTGCTGCAGACGAAGCATCACGTGTATCTTGGTTGCCAAATGAATGTGTGGGAAGCTCCACAAACTTTCTCCAGATTTGTATCCAAAAACTTGTTCCTACTTTTTAACATCTCTATGACAAATCCAAAAGAAATCAAACAAAACTCCAGAAAAGATAAAACATCAAAAAGCAGCAAACAATCACAGCCAGATATTTAGCATAAGGGAAAGAACAAAGCATACAAGGAAAAAAGATGAAAAAATTAGCATTAAGACCATTGCATAGCAGCATTAGTAAAGCAAGGATCCAAGAAACACATAAAGGGGGGAAAGGCAATTCTCTAAGATTCCAACTCCGTAAAAAAATTACCTACCATCGAACAAGCGAAAAATTTAGGTAAAGCAAACCAGCAAACAACTGCAACCTTGAATTTTGGGCCATGGTACAATTTAAGAATTCAAGAGGGCTAACAAGAGTCAGTCAAGCCAATTTAGCCAACATACCGCTTTAGAACGTTGATGGCTTCTATTGTACCCAACATGCCAACTACCCTATCATATTTCCCAGAATATGGTATTGCATCAGTGCGAGAACCTGTTGAAACTGAAACTGGAGCAAGCTCAGTTTTGGAACCAGTCCTACAAAAAACCAAATGACGATTTGGGTTAAGTACATGTATAACAAGCAGAAGAGAATGAACAATGGATTATTACAAAAGAATTTTTCAATCAGATTAAATTTTTCCTACATTAACATCCAACGTCATTCTGCGAAATTGAGAATAATTCTTAAACCACCAGTTCACCCTATAAATATGAAGTTTGGAGTTGATGATACTTAAAGTTCAAAATTTGGAACTTAACATCAACAATGTAATTTCAATTATACAACTTTTGAAGGGATTTCATCTTTTATTGCTTGAAATATTCTCAGTGCCAATTATTCTTTCTTATGGACCATAATTCACCAAATATCTCTCAAATAATCTTTTTAAATAGTTCAAAAGTAGTCAATCACTTTTTGAATTTTCAGCACCTTCTCTTTAAAAAAAAATTGCACAAAGAAAACAAATGGAAACAAATATTTCTTTCAACGTTAAAAATGGCAAAACTATGCATCAATTCCAGAGAATTAGACCTCTTAAATATCCTCAAGGCCATTTATAACCTGGCAATAGATAGAGAATGTAAAGCCAAATTGCTATGCACCATGAACCAATTTTTTTTTTTGAATCGGTGAACCAAATTTTTAAGGCAGTCGGCTGCATATATTACCTTATCAATAATTACAACTTTGTCTGGAATTTCTAATTTGGTTCCAGGTTTTGCAGTTATTGTCACTTTCCCCTTAAAACAAGGGGAAAAAGAAAAGAAAAGAAGAAATTAATGCATATGCCATATGGACACTAAATAAGAAATAACAAACCACTGTACAACCACAAATTGCCACATCACAAGAAAATCTTCAAGGAACAGATACATCCATAAAGCTTCAGAAACAGGGTAACAGGGAAACAGAGTAATAGGGAGACAAGTAGTTAGTTTGTATTACCTTCAGGGTGATACCAGATCCAAACCACCATCACCACTCATCTTTAGGCTGTCTAGTTCAACAATACTGGGAATAGACTTGATACGACTTAAGAAGTTGCCTACCTAAAAAAGTGAAAAAACAATTAGCTATATAAACAATTCAACCTGTGGAGAAAGATAGGGGGCTAAAATCTCAACCTTCTTAAATTCAGGTCCCAATTCATAGTTGGGTTAGTTGGATTTTTCCTAGCCTCGTTGCAGACCACATAGCCATCATCAGACAAAGTGTACAGGTCGGACTGTAAAGGTTAAATGCATGAATAAATAGCAATTCATATAGTATTCAAAACAGAATTCAATAGCATGATCAAAGAACTGATTGGGGGTGGGGGCTGAAAGTAAATGATTTTACTTCTTACCTTTGGTTGTTGGTAGAGAGGAGACTGAATGTGAAATGCCATATTGATAAACCTAAATGGAAAGAAATGGAAAATAAAGATGTTTAAATGAATAACAAGAGATAAGGTTAATGTACCCTTATTGTAGCGCCAGTAGCAGTTTCAAGTTGAAGAACTTTCACCCCATCTACTTCCTATTAATCAGACAAAATTAAATAGAAGAACAAATACATTGGCAGAATGCAGAACAGATAGTTAAGAAATAGAACCTTTGGATTTGGAATAATCTACATCTTCAGTGCACTTTCTTGTACAAGTCTTTTGATTGCTTTCAAGTTCACCCATCTGTATGATAGCAGAAATATATCATTCCATTGCATTTTCCATGAAGGAAGCATTGCCCACAGTGCTTGAAGCAAATAATATTTTAGCTTCAAATGAGAAGCATAACACTTACAAGTTGTTGGGATTGAAAATTTTGAACTTCTCTATCAACTTGAATTCATTCACCTGTAAAAAAAGAGGAGCAGCATAATCCTTTAATATCAAAATGATGCCTATGAAATTGTGTAACCCAAGAAAAAGATGTTACATCAAGAATGGGCTAATTCTGGATACCCTTGTTTAGTTGCCTAAATAGGTCGATGGATCTAACTCCACATTAAGTAAACAACCATACTGATTAACCTAACTGGTTATATGTAACATGCTTATACCCCTACATACATCAATCCTGGGACCTCCTTATGTAGAAATAGTTATTTAAAGAAACAATGTTTAAATTGCACAAGATTGTATGCAGTATGCCAACAGTTAAAAGCATTTCGCTAAAAGGTAAAGAAACCAGAAGAAATTGAATCTCACATGTTCATCAGGAACTTGAGCTATTTCTAGAAGCTGCAACAGAAGATAGAAAATGAATTAATAGCAACTATTAAGCATGAAAATAGAAAACATTCCAGTGCATTATTGAATATATCCATCTATCTCATGGCATGGTTTAAACCATTTAGCAAAATACAAGTAAGAAAAATACCATGTAAACAATATAGCATGTTTATCAATCTTGTCAAAATTTTACAAATATACCAAGTTTGAGTAGCTATTCCAATTTTCTCATAAGTACAATTTTAAATGTTCAAGTATGTATTAACCTACAAAAGAATGAATATGGCAGGTAATTGTCCCTTTTATCTTTTGTACAGTATACCTGCCGGTTTTAGTTTGGAGTGGCCAAGAACTTTCATCAAATCCCCGAAAAAGCACTTTCTGCAGCTGAACCCTAATAGATCAACAATAATAGGAAAACAATAATAAATCATCTAAAAGTATAGAATACAGGGAAAACAAAAGGCAGAAAGTTAAATAAGACATTATTCTAAATGCAATGGCTGGTTCGATATTGAAAAAGAAGTAAATTTGCATCACTAATCGGAGGCAGAAGCCATACTAACACAAATAATAGTCATCTTTAGATGGATTTTATCGGACAAAAAACCAACAGAAAATTTCAGGGCAGAAAAATCAAAACAAACAACCATGAAACAAGCAAAAAGAACAGCTGATAATTACAAAAAGTAGCAACACCACAATAGTTCAAACATGGAAGGAAAAAAAATGGAGAGAAATGACAAAATAATGAAGGCAGTACCTTAAAGGACTTAAGATTCTTCAATGCTAGCAGCTATCACCACTATTAAAAACACCAAACCATCCATTCACCATACTATGCCACTTATATGCCCCCAACCCCACCTTTCCCCTTTTCCTGAAACGAATATTGACCCCCATACCTAGAATAAGCAAGTTTGAGCCTAAGCTCTATCCTTGAGGCTTCATTAGTTATGCATTTTATTTTTCCTTATAAATGGCATTATTGTAAAGAAAGAGCAATCAACATAAAAGTTAGTTTAAGTAGAAAAAACCCAATTAACTCACTAAACAAAACTTACACGGTCATCATGCCTTCCTTAAGAAAATTTATGCAGTTTGTAAATTTCAGTAAACATGTAAATTTAACTTAAAAATGCATGCAATAACTAAACCGCAAACAATTGACAAGATAATGAACAAGAATGCCTGAAATGATACCATGAAGATGATCTTCCAATGATCCCAAGGGCATGAACTAATAGACAAGTAGCCTCTGGTCCCTATTAGCACAGTAACCAATTAAATTTACAAGGTTAGAATGATATAAAAGACTGAACATAAGAACATCAACCAAAAATTCCCGGTTACCTTAAAATCTATTTCTATCCAATTGCTTAACTGCAACAACCTGTCCATTCCAGTAATCCAATTAATTAGCAATAATAAACTTGAAAAGCAGCCAGAAAAATTTCGGTAGAGGCATTTCTAATAAAATCAATATTGTTATTCTAAAAAAATTTCAGGAAAATTCAGAAAAAAATCCTATGAAATGAAAAAATTAGAGAAAATCGCACATACCTCAGTCTACTACTTTAGCTTGAAGATCTGGGATTGAAGATTTTCTTTCAGATCATCTCTAAGAGGGCCACCACAGATCTACACTCTAGCTGCATTCCAGAAAAAACAAGACAAAACATCGACGCAACCAAATAGAAGAGAGAAAAATAATCACTAATTAAAGGAAAGTAACGGAAGAACCAAGGTAGTACCTGAAACAATAGAGAGGAAGCAGCGGTCAATGCTTCACTTTCGGTTCTATATTTGACCGAAAAATAAAAGTCAACAAATCAAAAGTAATCCCAGCCAAGACAAAGTCGGCAGTCTCTCAGCCAAGGAACGAAAATAAAAGACGATTGTGGAAAAGGTTAGGTATCGTTTACAGGGTTTGAAGCTTCAAATGTTAAATGAAAACACGGAACAAATAGGCAGTTGGCACGGGTAGTGGAGGCCTATGCTTTGTTCCTTCATCTAGCTGTAAGCTTGGGCCGGATGGACGGGTGGAGTGCTGGGGATAGAAAAGAAAAGCCTAGGGACCAGCAGAAAGTGGCAACTGGTAGCTTTTAAATTCTGTGACGTCCGGAGCTGGGAGACATGACAAATTGGTCGTAGTAGCCGGTGTGGCGAGTTGAGTGGGGAATTGGGGACGGCAGGCAGGCGCAGTAAACATGAGAATAATAAAGTTGGAAGGAAAGGAGAAGGAGAGATAATAAAGATTTTGAGAGCAAGAGGAAGAGGGAAAGATCTGATCAAGGACTGTTGGGATGGGTTTAGCTTCTGAGGATAAAGGTGAGGCGAAGGAGAGAAGGGGAGAAGAGAGAAAGCGGCGGCGGCGGCGGAGGAAATTTAAGAAAACCCTAGAGAGGAAGTATTTGGCGCATCGCGCGGAAAAAAAAAGGCTGGTGACTCACATATGCGGCACGTGAGAGGACGACGAAAACCATTCCAGGTCATCAGAGGCCTTCGGCTCTTTATCTACTTATGTTGAAAAACGTTAGACTAAGTGAAGGAAACGCTAAAAAGCTTTGATCTCTGTCCTTTGTAAAACGGTTCTATACAATGAATACGGAACACAATAAATCTTGGGTCTTTCTAATTTTGCCTGGCCTAGTATAGCAAAAAGTACCAAAATGAAAACACTAGAGAATATTTTCTTTGGGTTTTGCTGATTATTGGATAGGGGAAAAAAGGGTATAAAGGTACTTGAGAATATGCCACCAGAAAATTCAATGAAGCACCTATAGCTGTCAAACAAACCTATTTAACTAAATTTATCCATACCCGCCCATGAATAGATGGGTACGGGTATCTTAAATTTTTGCATATGAGTATAAATGGATTATCTAAGAATACTCATTTATTAAACGGGTATTATTAGGTAACCCATCAAACCCAATTAATCCATGTAGAATTGTCTTCCCTGGCCCTAAGCCTCCTCTCTTTCCCCACCCATTTTTTTTTTCAAACTTTTCATTTTGTCATAATGTTAACTACTTTTATTTCATTATTATTATTATTTGTTAGTTTTATCTTATCATTTTATTTTATCTTAGTTTGTTAACTTGTTCATTTTTTAGCATTACCAATTTATGACAAGTTTTAGTCTCTTTTCTTACTTTTTCAAAATAAAATTTTAAATTTACATACGAAAAAATGCTAAAGGTTCAAATTTTTGGATTAAGTTTTTATGTTAACTTTTATAGTACTTAGTTCAAATTTTTATGTTCTTATTGTTGAATTATTAAATAGTATGTAATTTTGTGACATAGAGTATGAATGGGAAAAAAATTGATAATTAGGCTTATTGAGCATTATAAGTAAGTATTTAAAACTAATGATGGGTGCAAAGGATGGTATAAATTGATAATTTAGTTTGCAAAAATGAATTTAAATGAATTTACAAAAAGTTAAAATAAATGGGTTATAAATGGGTAATTGGGTTACCCAATTCATTTTTTGACTTATCCATTTATACCCATCTAATTGAATGGGTATAAATGGGATCTGATCCTTCGACACTTCACCGTTCTCGATCTCGGACCACAGGAACCTTAACATTTATACCCAGCTAATTAAATGGGTATAAATGGGTTGACTCACTTATACTCATTACCCGTTTTACCCAAACCAAACCCGTCCAAATCACCCATTTTGACACCTCTAGAAGCACCCCACAAGAACGTATATTCTGTACTTCAATGAGCTAATTGAATCACGTATGCCATTCTTGGAGATTCGAGAATAGAAAATTCTTCTGTTGAATGGACCTGTATCTTCATAAAGCATTTATGCATAGCAAGTCTATTGATTTGATTAATAAAATTTCAGGAGTTATTTGGTAAAGTCAATAATGAGATTACATGGATAAATATAAAAATTATAGGGGGTAAAATGAATATTTATACAAACCATGTGAGGGTTAAGTAGATATTATGATTTTATCATATGCACTTTTAGAGCAAGTGCGGTCTAATAGCCATGATTGATTACGCATTCCGTCTATTTTTCACTTTACATAAACTCACATAGGGGTTATATGACTATTTTAAAACCTTAGAGGGGTCATCTAACATTATATAAAATCACAAGGGATTATATATAATCTATCCTTTTGATCTGAAATTGAGTGCAAAAACAGTACTAACTGTTTTCAACAACAAATCGGCACTTGCTACAAATTTGGTTTCATGATTAATAAAATCATTCTACTTTACTATAAAAAATGGAAAAAATCTTCCTGTCGAATTCAATTTAATTGGGACCCTAAGTTCTTAATATCACTTAGTTGAATTTTTATTTCCAATTTCTACCACCAAATAACATAAATTTTCAGCTTTAGTCCTTCTTTCTCCTCAATTACACGTTAATAGAACTTTTAATCCCTTAAATGAGATAATGATAAGCTTACAGTTCATTAATCAACAAATCAATGTTTATTATATGGTTATAACTAAATATATATGCTTGATTGGTTCCTACTTACTAGTTTAAACTTATGATATTAATTGTGTAGGAAAAAAAATGAACTAATTGTAATTAGTAATGTATGATACAACTTATCCATTGAAGTTTGTATTTGAATTCGAAATCAATGCGCGCTGTATTGGAAAAACTCCTTACAGATTTCATACCTATTTAAAATTTTACACATGTACTGTGCATCATGCGATCAGTGCATCCGCCAAATTACCTAATCCAAATTCTTAAATTCGGTCGCCAATTCAGTAGGGATTGAATGTGATAACCCTAATTCTTACTATGCTTTCCATTTTTTGACTCTATTCTAATTCAAATCTCAAATTAAAATTATCTATTAATACTACTTTCAAAGATCTTTTTCATTTTTGTGCAGGGACAAGTCCTGTTACTTCTTTTTTTTTTTTCATTTTTAACTTTTCGCCCATTTCCTTAACATGGAAAGACGAGCTGTGCATAAAGGGTTGAATCCATTAGTGAAGGTAAAAAGTTGCAAAGAAAAAAAAAGTCAAAGAGCAAAACCTGATTTAGGGATATCTGTAGCCCTTTTTCTAATATGGAGGCATGGAGCACGCCTGTAAGTGCTAATCTACTCAACGAATTTCAATGGCATTGTATCACAACCCACGTAATATACCGGCTTTTTTGCTAAGTCCAATCGTGTCCACTACGAAAACTTTACTAGAGATTATTGTGTCCAAAAGAGATATGGTCTATAAAAGATGACCCGCCACCCCAGGTCGATTGATTTGACACATTTGGTTTGGTGAAGGCAACAGCATTGAACTAGTCGTGATGTCAATTATAACTAAGGTTTAAGTATTCATGAGTCATGACCTCTGTTTTGAAACTCGGACCGGACCGGCCGGTCGAACCGGGAACCGGCCAGGTAGCTGGTCCGAGTCATATTAAAAAATCGAAAATTTAAAAATTCGGTCAAAAATCGGGTTTGACCAGGCAAAAATCGGTTTTTCCGGTTCAACAGTAATTTTTTTAAAAAAAAATTCAAACTTTTTAATATTATGTTTTGACCCCCTAAATTGTTAAAACTTATTGATATACCTCAAATATTTGATATTTTATAAATATTGTCCTAAAATTTGATGTTATTTTTCAATTAAATTCATAATTTTAATTCTAAACTTGTTAATATTTATTAAATAATATAAATTGCTACTTGATTGTTCTAATTTCTTTGTATTTTCTTGTTAAATATATTTGAAATATCAAATATATATGAATATACCTTTATTAATATCAATATATTATTAGATATTATATATATAATATTTTAATTTTTAAATAATTTTTATTTATGACGTCATCCGGTTCGACCCCCTATCGACCCCCGGTCGAACCCATTGACCCCTGACCCCTGACCTCGGCCGAGTCGCTATCCGGTCCGGTTCTGAAAACATAGGTCATGACCAGCGTATATATTAGGATAAGGTCTTTCTCATCCTTTTCTTGACAGCATGTTGATTTAGCTGAGGCATGCAACTATGAGAAGGTAAAATTAATATTTGGATATATGAGCTTGAGAAAATTTATGTTCAGAAATGAAAACGGGTTTTCTAAGTATAATGAATTAATTTATGGGTAAATTATATAGAACTCCCTCGTGGTTTCTCATAATACCGTATGACTCTTAAGGTTTTAAAATATCCATATAACTCCCTATGATTTTATGTAATGTAAAAAATGAATGAAAGTACCAACAGTTATGGTGATTGAACTAAATGAGCTTCAAAAATACATATGATGGAATCATAAAATTCACTTAATATTTCTATGATTTGTGATAAAAAATTTCTTGCAAGCGCACAGGTCGATCGTAGTAATAATTTACCTGGAGTATTCTAGGATCGAACCCATAGGGACGAGTTAATTTTCTACTTTAATTATTCTGAAAAATAACAAAATTCAAATTCAAGAGTTTTATTTTCTAACTAAGCAATAAAGGAATAATCAATTCAAATACAGTAGTGGTGAGAAAATAATAAACACGAGTCTAGGGTTTCAGGTTTTAATCCAGAATTTGAGTCAATTATCTAGTTAATTTCCTACCAAACCATGAACACACTTGCATTTTAGATTATCTCTTGATACATCTAAAGTATGCCTAATTAAATCTTATTTCTCTCTCGAGATCGCAAGTATTCAATTAAAGCTTTTAAAACTTTGTTGATATAAGTGCGTCATACAAATCCTAACCTACTCTCGTAATTAGACTAAATATGTTGATCTATCTAGTGCAAGATTGTATATTCCTTCTCAGTTCAACACAAACCCTAAAAGCATGTCTACGATGGCCAATCACAAACATGTAATTAAAATCAAGATAGATAAATTATAGTAAAATGCAAGAAATTAAACTAGGAAAATTAATCAAATTCCTTCATAAAAACCCTAACCCTAGCAACAACTTAGTTTAACATGATTAAGAAATTAAAATCACAAATTCATAGAATTGCTATAAAGATAAGAGAAAGAGTAAGAAAACTTCTCAATGGCTTGCTCCAATCTTCTCCTTGAGCGCTCCTTGATCCGCCTCCATGTGATCTTGATCTCTCAAGAATAAACTATGAAAAGATGTTAAAACTAGGCTAGACTAATGTTTTTCACCCAAAAAAGACCTAAAGAACTTCTATTTATGATTTCTTGAAGATATATCCTAAACAGGATAGGAATAGGCTCTATTGGACTCGAAAAATTGCGTTTTCGCACATTTATCCAATGAAGACCAGCCTAATGTCCGGTGCATGTTATTAGGCTGAGCTTAAAATACCAAAGAATCTGGAGATGTCTGGCACGAAGTCGTTTGCAATGTCCGGCACCGGTCTTAGATCCGTCAGCGGATCGGTACAGGTTCGCCTGCAGATCCTCTTTGAAGCCCAAAAACACCATCAATGAGGCCGAATCAATTCTTTCTCAAAACACAAAAGGTATAGCCCTTTGAATAAGTTTTCCAACGCTATAAGAATCAAGTCATTTGAAAGTCTAGAAGCTAAGATATGTCTAAAATACGGAAACCTAGTTGTAAGAGCATTGCCGTGCAACTATACTTCAGTAATTTGGATTTTTGACTATGAAAAATTGAGAACTGGACTTTGATATCTTCACAAAAGTTGTAGAGTATTCTCTTAGCTTCAAATTTAATCAAGAATCATCTCAATCCAATTTGTGTAACTTATGTTATTGCCAAAATACTAAAGCATGTCAATCCTGCCAAACCTGTTCCTCTTGACTTTTTCCTTTTTCATTGTTTCTTCACGCCACATTTTTAGTCATTTTTCTCTCTAATTGAGCTTTTCACCAATTAGAACAATATAAGAGCAAAATTAAGTAGTTTCTACTCAAGATAAAACTCAAATAACATGGTTATCTAGTAACTTTTACCTAGAAATGAACTACAATTTACACCCTATCAATTTGCCTCAATATTCGCTTTACTCATCATAGTTTTTGCATTTATGCACATAATTCTGTTATGCTTTTGTACAAAGAAAAAAGCAATGGCTATTGTTCTATTTAGTGTTTAAGAGCAATATTTCAACTTTATGACTCTACGGAGTTTATTTTTGTCAAATTTTCACTTTACATGAAACTATAAGGGGGTGATGTGGATATTTTGAAATATTAGATAGATCATATAGCAATATGTGAATCCATAGTGGTCATATATAATTTACCCTTAATTTTTTGATGCTATCTTGATAACACAATCTGAATTTGATTTAACTGCTATAAACACAAGCACTACAATGAACTTTGAACCACAATCAAATTTAACAAATCAGTTAAGTCCTCATAACTTGCTTTAACAGATAAAAGCACATAAATTGTAAATATATATATATATGGCAGGTTCGTGATAATTCTTGTCTTTTCATTTTCTAACAAGTTTCTATGTCTTGCCTTTTTAATAAGGTGAAGTACGTACATATTTTGCATTTATTTCATCATAAAAAAGACAGTAAGAAATATCTCAAATTTCTCTTGACCTATGTAGAATTTCATTTTATGCACATATATAGTACAAAGGCTAAGGGGCCGCTTGGCTTGCTATTTTTTTAAATTTTTATATGAAAAAATACGTTATAATGATTTAACATATGTGAGGTAGAAAAGTGATTGAAAATATATTTATGAAATGTAAAAATTTTTCCTTAGAAAATTGAAATATTCTAAAGTTTTTCCACCAAATAATGTACAAGTTTCTATGTCCCTACACAAGTGTTCAAAGATGTACATGCAGCCTGTAGTCAGGAGATAAAACATGTGGAGGAATACAATTATAAATACGATTAATGGCATATCCAAGTGCCAATAAATACTCATAACAATAAGCAAGAGACAATAGTAAATTAAATTAAGAACGTAAAACAGATTAGTATTCCAAACAATAATCCAGTATAAGTATATATGACGTAGAATTCTTGATTTTATTAATCGCTAAAAGACCTAACATATTCATTCAAATAAAATAATGAAAAGCTATAAGGTATCATGTCACTATTGTCCATCATACCGCAGACCCTCGACGTGGCTTACATGGGGCTAGAAAAAAGTGCTCATGCAATTGGCTTTTGAAAATGTATCCATCCATGCAAGAAAAATAATTCCTGAATTGGTCTATAAATTGGTGTGTCCTCTTCCATTTCCCTTCACCGGCATCACTATATTTGGAGATAGCAGCTAAGAAGGCAACATGATGGCATTGCAATACTTCCTAGCAGTCATGGAAAAACATAAGCCTTGTATTGTCATGGTGATTATACAATTCATCTACACAGGCATGTCCCTCTTCTCTAAAGCAGCAATAGCTGAAGGCATGAAACCTTCAATATTTGTTGCCTATAGACAAGCATTAGCCACACTTGCCTTGGCTCCCTTCGCAATTTTCTTTGAAAGGTAGGGGTAAAAAGCACTGGAAAATTTTACAATTTTTTAATTCAAATTTATATTTTCCTCGATCGACCAAAGTTGATGGATTAACTCAAATTTTTCCTTTCTTTATTTTGTGCAGCCAAAAGTCTCATCCACTATCACTCAATGTACTCTGCAAGCTGTTTCTTGTGTCATTATGTGGGTATGTAATTGTTTCATTATCTTGATGCAATTTTTTTTCACTTATGTAAATAAAAACGAATAATTTGACTCCTAACATAATTTTTTTTTTCGTTCTCCATGGGACAAATATCAGGGTAACGTTATGTTTAAATCTTTACTATGCTGGAATGAATTACACCTCAGCAACTTTTGCTACGGCCATGACCAATAATATACCAATCATGGTCTTCATCATGGCTGTCTGTTTAAGGTATCATCCCAGCTTTAATTACCAAAATTAATATTACTATAAATTTAACTGAAGAAAAAAAAGCATTAAAATCATAGTTTTGGTAATGGTAAACAGGATTGAAAGCCTAAGTATTACTCAATGGCATGGGATGGCCAAAGTGTTAGGCGCAGTTATTTGTCTTTCAGGGGCCATGGTAATCACTTTCTACAAAGGTCCTGCTTTGTATTCAGAACATGGCAAAGAAGCCTCACACAATTCTTCAAGAACCTATACTAAAGAAGAATGGATAAAAGGTTCTCTTCTCATGCTTGGATCAAACTTAACATGGGCTATCTGGCTTATTATGCAGGTTCTTAGCCTTTACTTTTCTTCCTAATTAAGTTTTTTTATTTTTCCATTAAACATGGACTAATATTCCATCTCTAAACTTCTTTTTCAAAAAACTATATCCAAAAAAAAAAAAATTTCCAGGCTTCAATTCTCAAGCAGTATCCAGCAAAACTTCGGCTAACAACATTGCAGTGCTGTTTCAGCTGCGTGATTTCGACAGCTTATAGCGCAGCTGTGGAGCGGAACATATCCTCCTGGAAACTTGGATGGGATATTAATCTTCTCTCCGTAGCTTATTGTGTATGTTGTTTGTTTATTTCTTTACTTATCTGCTCATTTTTTGTTCTTTTATTTCTTATATATTCATTTTATCTTGAGAAAAACTTGATTGGGATATTGATCGTATCCTTGCCTTGTGATGGTAATATCACTTTTGGGTGGCAAGTTTTGTCATAGTTGCTCTTTGAGAAGCCTAATTCCACTAGTTTCAAATCTAAACTGAACTAAACTATAACCACTTAAACATCAAAGTCTAATGATCTTTCTTTTAGTACATACCAGAAATCACATCAGAATGATTAAAGCACTCTTTTTAAACAGCTTGTTTTGCACTAACGAATTAGTCTGGATTGATGGACCTGCAATTGGAAAGCTAGTTTATGAAACATAATCATGTCCCTTAATTTTCTTTATTTGTTATTCTTTCAAGCTTTACTTAAAGTACCATTTCATTTCAAAATTAAGTAATAAGAATCTAAAAATAAGCGTTAATATCTCCTACACCCTCAAAATGAAATAATTTTATCGCCTTGAATGCATACTACAGTTCCAAAATTGAACGGTGATAATTTGTCATGCATTCAAACTTGTTAGTGTAAAAAGTTTTTTAGACAAACAAATGAAGCTTTCTCAAGCCTAGTGTTACGTTTCCCTGTTTCTCTTCCCTCTCTTTCTATAGAAGGGCATAGATGCTGGCCGAGATGTCCTAAAAGTAGCTAGCCATAGGGCCAGGACAAGGACAGTTCAAGCCATTCTTTGTCATCCCAAAGTGTGGCCGTTGCTCTTGTATACTGATGGCTGAATCCCAATGGGACGTGGACAAGATTAAAATTTGAAATTCCTAAAAATAGAGGAAAAAAAAAAGGAAAAGAAAAGTTGTTAGAGGCCTTATACATTTCATTTCCAGTTCTGTTCTTTGTGATATGATCCTATTTCTTCTACACCAACCAAAATCATAGAAACAACACATGGAGATGTAATTTGATTCTGCAAGACAGCAACCACAAAAATTAAGCTTATATTCCCATTCTTATTACCTCTTTTTTTTTTCTTTGTGTTGTCACCTTATTTCAATCAGATATGTGTAAAAATTCGACACCACCACCTAATTATTGGGTGGAGATGAATGTTTTCAGTCTATTGCACGTAAATCAGTAGATAAAACGTTGGCTTTAAACTGACCAGTACTTAACTTCAATTGCAGGGCATTGTAGTCACCGGGCTGTCATACTGGTTGCAAGTATGGGTAGTGGACAAGAGAGGGCCTGTATTTACATCCATTTTCAGCCCGATAGCACTCCTTTTAACAGCAATCTTTTCAGCAATGATTTTTAAGGAGACGCTTCATTGGGGCAGGTTTTGTACTTTTATCATATCTATGCAACAAATATAAAAGTGCAAATAAAACATCGAAAATTTAATCTCTTGTTGCTGCCTTTCACAATTTATCAAAATGCAGTCACGTCTTGACAACCAAATTTTCACATGTACGTGTATGTTTATATTTACATGTAAACAAACTGTACCTTTCTTTTCCAAGTAGAATACTTAAAGCATCTTTTTTACTTAATCAACCTATTCCTTGTACCCTAAAATCTGAATGACTATGGTGATTGGTTATCCTGATTGATTAGTGGGATTCTGATTTCTGTTTTTTATTATTTGTGGAGCAGTGTTCTGGGGGCTGTTCTTTTAGTGGCTGGCCTGTACAGCTTTTTGTGGGGCAAGAATAAAGAGACTGAAATCCATGGAAGTGAAGAAAAATCAAATCAGACTAAAGAAGAGGTTGCATTGGAGTGCATCACTTGTACACCAACCTGTGATGAGGATGGAGAAGAAAAAAGATGAAATATATATATATATATATATATATATATATATATATATATATATATATATATATATTACTTAAAATCAAATAGGAACTCTGAGCCTGAGGCAATTCTCCACATTCATGGATTCTCCACTAGAAATGCAGACAGATGCATTTCAAGAATCTTTGTGACTTCTTTTTTGTCAATCAGTGAATGAATTCTGCCCAAAAAAGAAAAGGAATGAATATTTAATTTTTGTACTATTGGTAACTTGATATAGTAGTCTTAAATTAATTGGTCCCTGATGAAAATAAGGACTCCTTGTATTATTCAGGCACAAGATCAAAGGACCAAAAGTCATCTTATATTGCAAATTTGTAGTTTACTCTCATCCAATATCCAAGAAAAGAAGAAGAAAAAAAAAACCAGTAAAGAGCATTATGACTCTCCAGTCACAACTCCACATCACAATATTTTATCTCTACTTTACTTTAATATCTTAAGTCATCTTTTTGTAGTCTAGCTTTCGAGTTTATCTCCAGTCATTATGTATTATTATCTTTTTTAGCTTTAAGTGATTTATTAATATAAACTTTTCTTTTTTTTCTCTTTCTCCTTCCTTTTGATGAAAGAGTGTATTATTAAAGCCAATTTTCGATGATAGGAGCTAATTAAGTAAGCTAAAAGCTATTCCTCCACCAATTGCTCTATCGTAATCAGTTGAATGCTGTCGGATGTCCCATGACTTGAGACTGGCTTTGAAGCTTGGAGCATAGGTTTCTGTGCATGTTAGTATTTCCAAAAAAATAATAATAAATATATAAATTTTTCTTTCTAAATATTAAAAAGAAAGTTATTGTACTGCATAACCATTCATAGCTTTCCCCTGCAAAAGTTTGGCATTTGTCACTGACTGCTAGTGATGAGTACTAGAACAAAATTTTTCTCTTAAATGATTCTCCACTTGTACCAATTGCCCAAGTGTATAATTTTATATTTTTCGAATTAGTACATCAATCCACCAACCTTGAATGTATTGTTAGGTAGGATAAGTAATTAGTATGTGTGATTAGAAGAAAGGGTTAATTGCAATTTGTCCCCTGAATGAATGATTTGAGAATAGTACCGAAGCTCCTAAACTATCAGAAGTACTTTCTATATATAGTATCTAGAATTTCTCATTTTTTTTAGTGAAGGATTTAAAATACCTTAGGGCTAATATAATTTGGCTGGCATTTCATAAGTTAAAAGACAATTAGGAGGTTGAGTGCTTAACGCGAATAATCAAGAGGAAGGGGAGAAATTGCAATTGACCTTATGAAAGAAATAAATAGGTCTCTTGCCTTAGAAATAATGTTCATCACATTTTGGTGGAGTATAAAATATAGATCAATAGTTTCACCTAAGAAAGATGTAAGGCCCTACTAAATAGCGTTAAAGATATCAGAATTCAGAACCCCCGGGAAAAAAGAGGAGCGAAACTTGCAAATTTTGTTTGCGATGAATACTTTCAACATTTGGGAATAACAAACAAATACATCTGTGTGTTCTATATAGATGCGTCCAAAATGACATTCCGGGTGTGGCTAACGGGTGCTTAGACACTCACTAAGGGGGGTTTCAAGTCTTAATTTTGGTGACAGGAGTGAAATTAATTTAGAAAAGTGTTTAAAAGAGGAGATTCATCTTGCAAAGTCACTGAAATTGTGTTCTAATTTTAATGTAGTCCATTGTCTTTGCAAACAACATTTCAGTTTTGACCTTTTTGGTCGTAGGGATCTAGTCTTCTGGTGAAGCATAATCTATCTAGAATTAGAAATTGGCAACTAAAGCAAGTGTTGAGGGGATTAGAAAGTGAAAAAGCATTTGGTTCTGTTTTTCCTTCTCCAAATCAGTTTTTTGGAGTAATTCAATTTGGAAGGGCTGTAATCGAAACTCGCGAGCAGCCCGGTCAAAAATTTGACTCGAACTCGAGTTAACCGAGTTACTCGATAAGCCAAAAACTTGACTCGAATCCGAGTTCGAGTGCCTCGATAAGTCAAACAAGTCGAGTTCGAGTATCAAGAAGCAATGCTCGAAAGCTCGTCGAGCCTTATCGAGTTTTTTAATTTTAATTATTTTATATATTATTATTCTAAAATTACCCTTATACCCAAAACGATTGTTGAATTTACGAAATGTTTCAAGTCGTTTGAAAATTTTTAAAGGTCAATAATGTCTTTTTGCTCAAAAAATATCAAGAAAATGAAAATTTCTAACTCGAACTCGATTGAGTTCAATAAGGCTTGCATTGATTCGAACCCATGCGAGTCGAGTTCGAGTTCTGTGAGCAAGCATCAAGCTCGAGTTCGAGTTCCAATAATACTACTCGCTCGAGTTCGAACATCCTTCTTGCATGTCGAGTCAAGCTCGAGTATGGCGATACTCGAGTTCGACTCGACTCGATTACATCTCTTAACCTATGCTTCGTAATAGTCCCTAATGAGTAAAAAGTTGTTTTTAAAATTTTTGGCTTTAAGACAACTATTGATAGAAATTCAACAATAACAACGGCCAAAATCAACTATGTGTAGCTATAATTTCCAAAAAAGAATATAGGGAAAGGAGTGCAGGACTGAATTGGGATAGAATGGAGCTATAATTTCTTCTGTAGGCCTTATGATTAGGAGTAAACATCATAACTCATTCTTCAATCTTGGTTTTCCGTATTGCCCTACGAGAATATGATAGAGTGCAGCTAATTTTGTGGTTGAAAATGTCTAACTTTATATTTCGATTGAAAAGTTTTCCAGTTCCACATTTTTTAAATTTGTGGAGAAATTTTTTCCTCAACCAACTACCTCGAAGAACATTTTGTTAAACTACTGTTCAATCTAATTTTCAGCCGCGCCTTCAATCACCCCTACCAGTAAATTAAGTATCATGCTGAGAAGTAGCTTTGGTTACAACATTATTTTTGAAATTAACTCCAAAAATCTTGCATGAATTGATTTATCTGATGTACTGACTTACACCAGAAGCATGACTTCAAAATCTACCTCACATTATCCTTCTACAGCTTGAAAGTTGCCAATTATCGAAACCATATTCTGGCTTCTTTTTCTTTTTTTCCTCTTTCATCTGTATACTTCACGGGCAATAAGGGGACAAAACAATTGGATGGTTTGCGCAGAAACTAATCCACAAAACGTTTTCCAACACAAATTGCTCAGCCGGCAAAACGAAATTCAGTAATGCGCTAATACTTGTTCTCAACAGAAACAACCAATTAACAATAATATATCTGTACGAATTTGCATTGCAAACATTAAACTCCTCCATAAGGGAATGAATAGATTGAAAAAGACCTTCAATTCCAGATAAGGATTCATCAGCCACGTTTCGAAAGATTATTGCATGTCCAAATAAAATAGATAGCTGGCTACATATCTACATATACGTCATGTGTACCTACTTGAATAAACAAAACTAAATTTCCACAACTACAGGAGTCTGATGAATCTTGTATCTGGTCTGCTGGATGGAATGTATTCTATTAGAAGATACGAAAAAGAAACAAAATTCATTTGCTATTGTACCCAATTGGGAACTAGTGCATACCTTATCTACTCTTTCATTCTATTCCATTTTGTTTATTTTATTATCTTAAACCACAATAACCTTTTTAACATCTATAATTTACCTGAGTCAAGCGAAAAGATTATATTACAAACCATACTGGAAAGGCACGTAAAATCAAATGCTTGAAGAAAAGTCCTTCAGATGGTTCGCATTCTGCAAAAAGTGTGATGGATGGCAAAGCTACAATCGTCCAAACATCTTGATACCATGGAATGAATTTCTCCTCTCTGAGTACTCTTGTGTAGAAGTGAAGGGTGCACAAGTAATGTTCGTTCTAGGACGTATAACACAAATGCTGTTGATTGTTGCAGCTTCATTATATATATATTGGACACTATTTCATCTATGTGACTTGGTGATGCTGAGTACATTTCTAATTCTGAAGAATAATATAGTCTTGACTGAATGAAAGATGATACGTAACAATGTGCAAAAAGCATGTTCAAAATTATAACCAATAGCCTTGTCGGGCCTTAGCCCCTCACAGTTTAACTGAGCCAAGGGAAGCCAAGAATTTCATGGGAAGCATGTTAATTCTTCATATAATGAAGAGTATTTCATCTACGTGACTTGATTATGCTAATTATATCACTAAATTTCAAGGAGATTAATATAGTCTTGAGTGAATGCAAGATGATGTAGAGATGTGCCAAAAATGCATGTTTAAAGGAAAATCAATAACCTTGTCCGGCCTTAGTCCCTCAGAGTTTATATTAACTGAGTCCATGAGAACTTGAAAAAGGTTTCAATTTTTGCATGACTTGGTCATAAGAAAATTTTTTTTTATTGAATATAGTTTTTGGCCGGTCAGAATTGGGGTGCATGCCTGTTTCTGTCTAGGCTACATATGCCTTAATCTCAAATTTTAAGAGATTAAAAAGTTTTAACCTTGTATAACAAAGAGGGAACCATGCATGCAAGCTATGATGATCTGAAAAAGATAATCAAATAAAGGGACTAGACTAGTAATGGCGGAATATGGTCGTTCCACATGGGAATGATTTTGACCAAGAGTTGCCGGCATTCACAACATTCCATCATCTTCATATAATTATTCTACTTTTCTTTAACGTATCATTTTGTGAAACCTTGTTGAAGTATATATATAGAACTCAATTTAGCCAAATCACTATGACTCCTTAATTAGCTATAATATCAGATCTTTCCTTGGGAGATGAACACCAATTTCTTTTCATCAAATTCATTAGAGCCCCCTTTCTTAAATGATCAAAACATGGTCATTTGGTCTAACCTTGCCTTCATCAATGATAATGACGATAACCGTTCAAGCCAAGGGAAGTTTTCAATTTTGAAACCTTCTGAAAGAGATTTAAGTACTAATAGAAGTTCATTCTTCACAAGCCATCTTTCAGAAGAGGAGTTCCAAATCAGAGAAGAGCTCGGGAGAGAGATTGAAAAAGAGCTCGAGCGCGAAATTATGGAAGGTATTCTTGTTTTAGTCAAAAGATTAAGCAATCTCAAGGCTAAGCAGATTTTAAGGAGTCTAAAGAAGTTAAATTTGGATGAATTCTTGAATTTATTGCATGGTTCATCAAATTGTGGCACTACTTGCGAAGATGGTGGTGATCATCACGAGGATGAATATGAACTTGGTAGCCAATGGCTTAGCGGT